ATGACTTGTTACGCAGTGTGTAATATCTGGGTTATATCATGCTATATCATGTGTTGAACTTGGTGTTATTTTGTTATTATATCAATGTTAGTCACTGTGTCATGGGAATATATCTTCTAACATGATGTGTTATACCCTGCATTATATCAGCATTATATTTATAACATGCATGAGCCTAATTTTACAAAACTTAAGACCTACACAAAGTGGGAAAGTTACTTAGGGAAAACATATACTGATTCAGAATGGATAAACTATAATTTGATGGTGAAAAGGTGCACTCCAAGTAGTGAATTAAGATGGTTTCTGTTGAAAGTTTTACACAATATCTTGAGTACAAACAGTCATTTATTTAAGATTGGTTATGTACCATCAGCAGCTTGTATATGTAACGAACCAAATGAAACAATTTCACATATCTTATGTAAATGTTAAATATTCCATTGAAATATGGGAAAAGCTATCAGAATGGATTGGAAATTATACAGAAGGCAGAATCAACTTCAGTGAAGAACATATATTGTTTGGCTTAAAGGGTAAACATAATAATCCTTTGAATGTTGTTATCATGATAACAAAAACTCTCCTATACAAATTTAATAGAAAAATGACTAAATGACTGTATGTATGTATGTATGTATGTATGTATGTATGTATGTATGTATGTATGTATGTATGTATGTATGTATGTATGTATGTATGTATGTATGTATGTATGTATGTATGTATGTATGTATGTATGTATGTATGTATGTGTTGCTAATTGGATATATTATACATGTTTATGCGTACGTGTATATGTTAATCTTTTTTATATTTATAACATGTTACGTGTCATACTGTGTGCTAAATCATTGCTATATCAGTGTTATTCCATATGTCATATCAGTTTATCAGTTTCATACAAGGTCTCAACAAGATCTAAGATAACTTTAAGATTGGTAATGTTAGACCACATGGTAATGTTAGACCACATGGTCACTACTTCAGTTTTCCTTCTTGTGCTCGGCAATTGTTACTGTACCATTTAATAAACAACCTTGATATAATGCAGAACACTTGGAAAATGACAACAAATATACACATTACCCTGATGATAAAGGACACAGCGGTTATTTCCAACATTAAATACCATTCATTCAGTTATAAGAGGATATTGTCATACACTAAACATGATCATCTCTGAAACCACCCTACCCCACGCCCAATTCAGTTATAAGAGGATATTGTCATACACTAAACATGATCATCTCTGAAACTCAGTGTTCTCCAAGGGGCGGTGGGGTAGCCTAGTGGTTAAAGCGTTGGCTCGTCACGCTGAAGACCCGGGTTCTATTCCCCACATGGGCACAATGTGTGAAGCCCATTTCTGGTGTCCCCCGCCGTGATAGTGCTGGAATATTGCTAAAAGCGGCGTAAAAACTAAACTCAGTCAGTCAGTCAGTATTCTCCATTTTCTGTTAATCAGGGTATCACATCACCAGCCTGTGTTGATAAACATGACAAATACCCATGCCCCAGTTGCCACTATAGCTTTGATTCTGAAGTGCCATCAACACTTCCTCAATCTAAGTCCAAAATGTAACTTTGTACAGAATTTCTGCACCTTGACAGACCTTCATTGTGATTTATGTTTTAACGTATTTATAGCATTGTGTCTTTCAAAATGGACTCCAATCATAGCTATGCTGGTGAAATGGACTCTCGGATTATCATGTTTATCAAAACAGATTCTGGAGTTATGACACACAGGGTACATACCTGTATTACTATAGCATGGAGTGAGTATGGTTTTACGCCGCTTTTAGTAATATTCTAGCAATATCATGGCGGGGGACACCAGAAATGTGGGGAATCGAATCTGGGTCTTCGGCGTGAGGAGCAAACGCTTTATCCACTAGGCTACCCCATATGCTAAGCATGGAGATACCCGGAATCACCACGGATAGTATTCTCAGACATCCATATAAAAACAACTCAATGGACTAATAATGCAGACCATGGGAATTCATCACCTCAGCAAAGTGAGTCAGTGAAAATAGTTTGATGCTAAATATATGTTTATGTACGAGAGATGGCAGTGCAAATGGGCTTCCAACATAGAGAATCAAACCCCAGTTTGGTGGACACATGAATGCTTTAACCATTAAGCCACCCAACTCCTAGCTTACAGTGTTCAGCATGACACAATAGTTAGGAGATAATACTACTATTGTCTCTTGAGCAATGTTACCACGGTAACCAGACATATGATACATCCTTTCTAAATTTGAAACGTAGTGACTCAAACTCCAGTGACGTCCTAACACAATGAGCTCTATACCATGCTTACAAATTAGAGAAGTTTGGTACAGATAAGTTTCATCATAGCGATTGTCGGAATACGGAAATGTCTTGTGTACCTCATAAAAGTCTAAAATAAAGTATACATGATGAAATACAAGATTGATATCACATTACTGTTTGCATATTTAATGAAAATCCCATTTGTTGGATATTCTTACATTGTGTTTTGGTGGATAATCGATACCGGTAAATCCCTGGCATTTTTTAAATGTATTCATTCAAAATATGCACTGTTAAGTAACATGATTGACAGACATTTAAATGTGACTTGTGATGAGGGAAAACTACTTGGCACACAACTTGTTCGATGTGTCAATTTGTCTTTAAAACCAGATACCAAAGCAGTTCATCACATGAATTATCACTGTCAGATCCATGTCAGAGATTAATAGATTAGAGGATCACCTCAGCAGATTTAACAATCATCATATTCATCAAATGAAACTCTTATGCATAATAAATTCCAAGCTCGTACAACAGCTTAAACTGCCTTCCCTAAGGGCTGATACAATGTCAGGAAATATAGAAATAATCATCAGGATAATTTGTATTCCAGAAAAGTACTCCATCAGAACAGATGATTCGTGTGTCATCATGGTCCTACTGATATCGACCATGTGAATAATGACTATGGATGATTCTGTTTGTTTGAAGCTTCACTTGACAATATTTGAACTGGTGGTGGTGGGTGGGCTATAACTGGCTGAATGCTATGAGAGTGAGGTAAAGCGAGGTTAAGGTCATTGTTCCTGATTATGTTACTATGTAGCTGTGTGCACCGATTTGTGTGGCTACTTGTAACAGTAATAGTCCAGACTGACATAACATGCTTGTGGTGAACATGGACACCCAGCTCAATCACAGAATACAAAGCCTGTGTGTTTTATCCTCTTAGTGCCATGCACCTGGAGTAGTGAGTGAGTGAGTGAGTGAGTGAGTGAGTGAGTGAGTGAGTGAGTGAGTGAGTGAGTGAGTGAGTGAGTGAGTGAGTGAGTGAGTGAGTGAGTGAGTGAGTGAGTGAGTGAGTGAGTGAGTGAGTATTGCTTTATGATGCAATATCATGGCGGGGTACACCTGAAATAGGTTTCACACATTGAGCCCATGTGGGGAATCGAACCTGGATCTTCGGCATGACGAGAGAACGCTTTAACCACTAGGCTACCCAACCACCCCCTATAGTGTGGACTGTAAATTAAGGTACATTATATGAAACAAAATCCGCTTGGTACCTTTTAAAATATCAAAAGTTCTAAGGTTTAAAATCACATTAGGCATTCTCCAGTCACAGAAGTACTATGAGACTAACAACCAGTCTTATTTATTATGATTGGATATAGAGCCTCACAACCTCGGCACAATATTGTCGGTATCAACATGTGCAGAACGCACCTGACTAGAATCTGTGTCTGTCTAGCTAAATGTCACTCTCCTAAGGTAGCTGTGTAAATTCTCTATTTGACTACCATTGTGTGAACAGATTGCTCGTGTTTAAAACCATGTTGTCGTGGTTGTGAGTTCACTACTATAAGGTTAATTTGATTAGGAACCCATAGCTTGGTGAGCATTGCGAGTAACCATGGTAACCTGAAGATCTTGGTGAATAACTAGGGTAACAAAAATAAGCTTCTGGTATTTGATACTTTATAAAACCATACTTTATAAAACCAATGTTTGGGGACATGGAGGATAGTAATGTAAATGCCAAAGTGAACACGCCTATCATCAAGCACAAGACTGTAAACTATTTCAGCTTGTTGACCTCTTTGTAGTAAGCGACCACTCCTAAATTTGACATGTTGAAGTTGACCAACAAGGTTATGAGAACCCATCGATTTCATGCCTAATATTAGTTTTGTATTTGTGTTGATATCAAATTAGATTTCTTTATTTCCCTGCCACATTTCACATTTCGGAACATTTCAGTAGTGCCAGAACATGATGGAAGCACTGACCTAAATGTATCACCACACCCAGTCTGAGTCCCTTGTTTACGAATAAAGGAAATAGTGACAAGGGTTTTCACATATTGTAGGTAATATATACTGAGTTTGACCCCTCAATAATCCTATCTTGAGTGAGTGAGTGAGTGAGTATGGTTTTACACCGCTTTTAGCAATATTCCAGCCATATCACGGCAGGGGACACCAGGAATGGGCTTTACACATTGTACCCACGTAGGGAATTGAACCCGGGCCTTCGGCGTGACAAGCAAACGCTTTAACCACTACCCCACCACCCCTGTTTAACAAGGGAAACATAATCATATTAGAAATGCAAGCAAGGGAATGTTGTTTTGTATCTTAGTCAGCAATATTTCTATATTACCCTAACCAAAGTGTCTGTATACATTGTCAAGCTTGGACCCAGCAAACCAGTGACAGCTAAGACGGAAAGCCAAACAACCCAATTCACATATTTCAGTTTACCCTTACATCAACCATGGTATAACAAGCTAGTATGGTCTGCTTGTCATTTCATTGCGTATAAGTAGCAGCCATTAGCTTGAACAGAAAATTTAAAGACCACTACTTCCTGTTGTTACTCAAACATTACACATGACTATATTGATCAAGAACTTGGGCTGTTTGAATTCTACACTGCATACAGTTTCTAAAGGAATTAAATGTCCTGTGACTTTTGTTGTGTTTATATACCTGGGGGCCTCTTTGGCAAGCATCTTGACAATATCCAAGGTTCCACCAACAACAGCAAAATGTAGAGGCATGGCGCCAGTTGCCGTTTTCTTCATAATATCACAGTTAGTATCATCCAACAGGTAGGTGACAATATGGGCGTGGCCATACCGGGTACCCAAGTGGAGGACAGTTGCACCAGTGCCATCCTGGTCGTCAACTTTACACTCAGTGTTTTCAAGAATCCATTTTAAAGCTGCTAAATTTCCCGTGGCAGCAGCATCGTGTGCGGCCGTAGCTCCAACATTACTTCTCTTGATCGCATTAAATCCTTTTTTCTTGACAAGGAATTCAATTGTTTTGACGCTCCCTCCCCTTGCGGCATAATGTAAACATGTTGCTCCGTGTTTATCGGCCACTCGCGCGGGCTCAGTTAGAGATTGTAGGATGTCAATGTCACCACTTTTTGCCGCCTCGAGCGCCCTGTTAGCTACCATTGTTTAACTGGCAAAATTTACTCAGGATTTCTTTCTATCATCTTTTTCGTGACTCGGGACACACATCACATCTCACACCTGTCATGTTTTGAGTCGACTGCCACCTGTGAACAAGATAATCAGGGGCGGGTAACTCTGATTGATTACTGTTATTGATTTTTCAAATGTTAACGTTGTACAAACATACAAATGAAATGGGTTCGAATCACTATTTACAAGACACGTCGAAATAAATACGTTTTGCTTGCACAAAGCCAATGTCAGATTGACTTACCAACGAAAATGTGTTTTGCACGCGACTAAGCGTAATAAGTAAGTATTTGTTCACAGCCAAAAAGAATGATTAGCCTATACAGCTAACAGAGCGATTACATATAAGGCATACCGTGCATAATCCTTTGTAAAAATAACTGGTCTCTTTCCATCTCTTCGCAATGTGGTACTTTCACCAGGAAAATAAACTTTTGTTCAATACTTGCTAATATTTGAACATTCAAACTCTCCTAACGTCGGTATTTTACCCTTACAAAACCTTCAGGTACAGTCGGCGTATAGTCCAATACATTCAAGGGTTGAAAAGTCAATTTCTCTTTCGTACCAATAATCTTTAATCTAGCTATCTTTGTTTCTGCAATTATAGTAAGTGAGTGAGTGTGGTTTTACGCCGCTTTTAGCAATATTCCAGCAATATCACGACGGGGGACACCAGAAATGGGCTTCACACATTGTGCCCAGGTGGGGACTCGAACCCGGGTCTTCTGCGTGATGAACGAACGCTTTATTAACCACTAGGCTACCCCACAGCCCCAAGAAATTATACAGATCCAGTTTGGGTGTTTGTCGTGTACCCTTACAAAACTTTCGGGTACAGTCGGTGTATAAATCCAATACATTCAAGGGTTGAAAAGTCCATTTCTCTTTCGTACCAACAATGTTTAATGAAAGCTGTCTTCATTTCTGCAATTATATAGTATGACCAGAAATTATGGAGAATTTTAGGAATATGTTTAATTGGATTTCTAGTATAAACAACCTTGACCAGCTATCAAGTGCTTGGTTTCATTCAAGAGAGACAACTCTGTTAATCCTTTTTCATTAGTTTGAAAAGAGTTATCCCCCTTTGTTTACTTGCTAGCAGACGACATTTTCAGTGATCCTCAGTATAGATGATTTAGAGAAGAGGAAGTTGATTTTAGAGTATTATAACAAGGACATCAGATCAGCTAAAGTGATTTCAAGTAGAACAGGCATCCCTTTGTCCACTGTTTATCGTGTTTTGAAAAATATTGCAAATGGATATGGCATTGAGCACCAGGGAGGCGCAGGTAGGCCCAAAAAATTGACTGTCGGTGACAGGGGGCGGCTTGGTATTCTTGTTTCTAAAAACAAACGAAGGAGTTTAGAAAACTTAAGGCTGGATATGATTGATAGAGGAACTGTGGCTGTCTATAAGAGACAATTATAACTGAGCTGCATGCAATGGGTTGGCAGAAAAGTCGAGGAATTCCATCACCGATCATGAAACCTGAACAAAAGGAGCGAAGGTTGAACTGGTGCTTACAGCATAGAAATTTTAACTGGGACAATGTGATTTTCTCAGATGAAAGTTCTTTGTGGCTGTTTCCTAATACACTGAAATTCAGGACCATACAAACTGAAAAACCTTTGTATCAGCGCCCAAAGTACAGTCCGAAATTTAACGTGTGGGGTGGCATATATGTGTTAGGGGCAACGCCCCTCTGTGTATTAGAAGGGAATATGAACAGTGAGAGGTACACAGATATTCTCGAGGGACATTTACTTCCATCTGCTCACGTGTTCTATGGAAAGTTTTGGATTTTCCAGCAAGACAACGACCCAAAACATCGTTCAAAGCATACACAGGCCAGGTTTCGGACCCAAAATATGACATTATTAGATTGGCCAAGCTATAGCCCGGACCTAAACCCAATAGAAAATGTTTGGGGACTTATGAAGGAAAGTGTCAATAAGAAAGGTCTGACAAATATTGCTGAAATGAAAGAAGAGGTGGTCCGATATTGAGACGACTTTCTAACTTCTTTGATCAGTGGTAGGCTATGCCTCGCCGCATTGAAGCCTGCATTGCTGCCCATGGTGACTTGACAAAATACTAACTGTTCACCTGTCTTTGAATCTGGAGTTATGTTCTGCTAATATTCACTTTTAACACGTGAGTAATGAGTGAAAACAGAAACAAATTACAATCCTTATATTCTCAATAATTTCTGGTTGTACTGTACGTATCCAGTGTTCCAAATGAGGGTGTTTGTCATATACCTGTTTCTTCACGGTGCCTTCTGCAACAGCGCAGATCGTATTCATAAGTGATCAGTAACACATATACTCTCCCAAAAAAGAAACGCATATAGGAATTTCAACTGTATTTTTATGTTTATTTTGAAACATCTTGTAGGCTTTATGAGTCAATGAAATATAGCGAAATTGCACACTGGGAATGCAGACTTATCCGTCTTTGGCACCAACTCGAGGAAAGTCAGTTTGAGTGTCACATGGAGACGTGTGGTGGCGCTGAAATCAATACCTCGTGTGACCACCGTGGATATCCAGAACTGCACGGCATCGCCTCGGCATCAAACGAATAAGTCTCAGAATCTCGTGTTGCCCAATCGCAGCCCACTCTGCCTGTAGTGCCTGTGCGAGTTGCTGAAGTGTCTGGGGCTGAGGGTTACGGAGTCGCACCCGTCTGTCCAGGGCATCCCACAGATGTTCGATCGGGTTTAAGTCCGGTGATCTTGAGGGCCAGGGGAGCACATTGATGTTGTGGTTCTGTAGGAAGTCTCTAGTGTGACGTGCTGTGATGGGCCTGGCATTGTCCTGTTGAAACAACTCCCTCTGGGGATCAATGATTGGAAGGAGGTGTGGGCGTAGGATTTCGTCACAGTACCGTTGAGCTGTCAGGATCATCACCTGGATCATCACCAAATCATTTCTCCTACGGCAGGTGATCGCTCCCCACATCATAACACTTCCCCGGCCGAATCTGTCCACCTGGGGAACGCAAGCGTCGGCGAAACGTTCACGTCGACGTCTGTACACCCGCATTCTTCCATCGCGTCGTTCCAATAGAAATCGTGATTCATCACTGAACCAGATTCTACACCAATTCGGTAGGTTCCAGGCCTGAACGTTGGTGCGCCATTGAACTCGATGTCGACGATGTTGTTGTCGAAGCACAGGGCCAAAAAAAGGTCTTCTGGCACGTAAACCAGCCTCTCTCAACCTGTTCCTGACGGTCTGTGCAGAAAGCCTCCTCAATCCGGGTATTTGTCGAGCGGTTCTGGTCGCCGTAGCTGTTCGATGACGCAGGTGATGTACCCGGATGTAGCGAACCTGCGCCGCAGTGGTCGCTCGAGGTCGCCCACTACGAGGGGCATCTGCTACCGCATTCTGCCGGCGATATCTCTTCCAGAGCCGCGAAATGGTGCTTTGGTAGAGCCGCGAAATGGTGCTTTGGTGAACATTCAAGCGTCGGGCAACTGCACGTTGAGACTGGCCACCTTCAAGCAAACCAATGGCGATATGACGATTGGCTTCATTTAGACGTGGCATTTTGCGTTCGTCAACAATATTCCAAATACAGTGAATAATCGACAGACAGCGATCAACCTTTTATACCCATCATTGAGACTATCTGATCCCCAACTTGCACGTGCATTGCATGTGAATTGTGTATTCTGTGACACTACACGCCGAAATTGAAAATCATGCTGTTAAATACGGGTATTTTACGGATGGTGCGTTTTGTTGTGATGTTTCAAAACATAAACACCATAGGACTCATAAACAGAAGAAAACCTTTTGTAAAATGAATCACGTTTTAATTCATTGCTACATGAAATTGCTATTTTCATGATGCGTTTCGTTTTTGGGAGAGTATATTACTGACATGAGACATCGAAAATTTTCTCTCGGCGAGCATCGAGTGGATCTGTATTCATGTAACAATGATAACTGCCCCTGTGAAATAATGAAATATAACGCATTCCTCCTTTTAACCCCAGTCAAATGTTATGTGAACGATAGAGGCAACAAAACACAATTTATTATGTACATTCACTACCTAAAGATATGGCGATTTATAGTTGTCATGACATCTGTATTCATTTTATGTACAAAGTGATCCCTCCCGTGCATGTGATGTACATAATAACACACACACACATACACACACACACACACACACACATGCGTACATGTGTGCAAAATTGATGCCCCCTACCTCCCCAGAACAAAACTGGTGGAACCCCCGACCCTTTAAAATCTTCATCACACAGCCCTAAATTATCACAGTGAACATAAATTATGAACTGTCCCTTAGAGCAATATGATCCAGCTCAAGTCGTCCCAAGATTCCCCACATCCCCGTCGTCACAAGCGTCCGCGTGATTAGTATACAGAATGACTTTATTATTGACAAGCTCACCAATATATCATCTCAAATCGAGAATCGATAAGCCTAATGTAATGTCGCCGCTTTGCGACTGCACATTATATTCCCGCACTTCCTGCTTGACGCTCTGCTGTGTCGGAGTCGGGAAACACAACCACTTTGCAGGGTACAAGGCCAAAGGTGAAGTGGCCGCACTTGTTACATATGGTGTTAAGCCTTTACAGATTTTGAATGTCTGTAGTTGGTAAGTAATCATTTCTATATATGTGTTAGGAATTATATACATGAGACTGTAAGGGTGTCGTAGTGAATTGACGGTACGTAACGTAATACACTGGATATGGATAATTTCTTGGGGCGGTGGGGTAGCCTAGTGGTTAAAGCGTTCGCTCGTCACGCAGAAGGCCTGGGTTCAATTCGTAACATGGACACAATGTGTGAAGCCCATTTCTGGTGTCCCCCGCCTTGATATTGCTGGAATATTGCTAAAAGCGGCGTAAAACCCAACTCACTCACTTACTCTATGAAGACCCGGGTTCGATTCGCCACATGGACACAATGTGTGAAGCCCATTTCTGGCGTCCTTGCCGTGATATTGCTGGAATATTGCTAAAAGCGGCGTAAAACCATACTCACTCACTCACTCTAACCAAAGACGTATATTCACGT